GCTGTACTTAGTGAGATCCTCCTGCAAGGTTGTTCTGCAAATGGCGTTGACTATCATTGGTTCAAGATGAGTTGCATTCGGATTTTAGGAATCCTGTTCTTTCGAGCAATTCCTTAATAGCTTCAAAATGCGTTCCAGTTCTTCTTGGAAGTCATGAGGCACTCTCCGCAGGCTCGCAATCCTTTCAAAGTCGGCCGTAGTCGCATGTTGAGTCCTCCTCGATGGGCTAGTCCAACTTGATATAAATTCTTCCAACCTATTACCGATGAAACAAAGTTCTTTCTTCCTCGACACGGCGACACGGCCTTCTTTTCCGCTTTTGACTGATTCGCCCTTCGCTCGAAGGAGGCGGTGATCGGAGCCACTGCAGAAGCATGGAACTACTGAGATTTTGAACGAGCTCCACCTTTAGTTGGCGAGAATGTAGCCGATTTCCGCGTGAGTCGTTCCGTTGGGCGATTCCCGCGTCCATCTGCGATGCTCTTTTTTCATGAAGAAGGAGTTTTATGAAAAAGGCGCCCGAGGGAAGCCTAACGAGTCGGCCGCCGTTTTCGTTCCGGAGCTCATCTTCAAACTTCCCGATCCTATAGTCCTTTAATAGCATTTTTGTGGTATTGATGAGCTTTCACTATGTTTCCTAATTAGATTGTACAATACGAATAGTATACGTTGTGCAAAATTTATCAATGGAGTCAATGTCGACACCCCGCAAGTTCAAACTTAGATGGATACTAAGCAGTCGGGCAACATGTCAGAAGCTACTCGGAGGTAGTGCCTCGGTAAGTCCTTGACCTAATTTTTTTTTGATTATCTGTGGTATTTCGACTCCCCAATTCCGAAAATACACCACGAAGAGCACGAGATGGCGAAAACCAGCATTTTCAAAGCCATTCCTTCTGAAATTGGATGAGTGGAACGCTTCCTACCATGCTTGATAAGAGAAGAACAGTCGCTGCGATTATCGCGTTTATAGCATTGCGGCATGCCTCATTTGGCGGTGGAAAAGGAATCGCAAGCTCGTCCGGACGCGTGTAAGAATGGCTTGCGCGCATGGGTTTAGGAGCAGTTTTCTTTTTTTACCCTGTCACGCTTGGGATGCAAGCAACCTTCAGTGTCGAAATTTCGAGAGAATCGATTTTAGAGCCACTGCCTTTAATACATTGACGACCGCTTAGTAAACATTGTATGTCAAACGGTGACTACCACATGGGACCGCTTGACATATAAATGATGATGATTCTGGAAATACTCTAGGAGTTTCTTTTGCGCTGAAACTTAGAATAAATTCCGTCTATTTTGTTATGCTGTTATGTTGTAGATGGCAGTATGTGTGATTTTATCTAAATGTTGGCTGACCTTTGGCAAGTTGGTCCCCAGAAGACAAACAACTAAAAACAACTCGTCTACGTGTTGAGATACAACAGCTAATGATTGTTTGGTCTTTGAGTATTAGGTTGTCTCACAATTTCGATGCAACACATCAAAAATTTGTCAAAGTCTTTGGATTGGGGATAATTTGGTGGAGCAGGAATTATACAGGCTAGTACAAGGCAGATCGTCATGTAGTGAAATTTAAAACCAAAATTACTTGATTTCGCGAGAAATATCTAATTGTGACCTACAAGAAGTTCAATGACCTCGGCTTGGTTATCATATAATATACACATGCAAAAATTATATTGTATGTAAATTTCGTATTTAAATTTCCTGTGACTGAAAATACACGCAGTAACCACCAAAATGTCAGTTATATAGGCTTCTAAACTATCGAAGTTTTTTGGAGATTAGTGATTTGTCGGGATGAATGACCATAGATTTGTAAACAAGCGAACGCCGAAAAAATAATTCAATGATTTCTTGCATTGTCTGTTACGCATAGATCATTGGCCATTTTTCTAAAGGAACGCATACCAAACTCGGGTGATTGTACCATCGATGACACCTCTGTCATATAGAGTTTTACCTTTGCTGGCGTATGCCCCAACTGCGTCAAAAGAGTCCAAGCGCTTGAGGCTTGGCCTTCGCTTGCTGAAAGAGAGTATTTGATAAACGCTTAGGCTGCGTTCATACTGATCCCGAAGTCCGGGAACAGTTCTAGCACATCAGTTCAGTTAGATCGCTGTCCGAGAACAGTTCCAGCACAGCGGTTCAGTTTGAGCGCTGTAATGGAACTGTTCCCGGATTTCGTAATCAGCATGAACGCAGCCTTACAGAAAATTTCTATTGCTGCCCTCTGGCAGAACACTGGACAGTAAAGGAAATCGCACGCTGAAGATTTCGACATGCATTCTGCTGATCGCTTGCAAAAAAGCGTGAGTTTGCTGTCTACGTGCCCTGCGGCGATTATCTGAGTAGGACACATCCAAGTACACTCATATAGTAGTTGCAAATTTACAATTATTATCGTATTTTGACAGTACGCCGTAGTTGCAATTGCAGAATTTTTTGGGTTCTCAACCTTCGAAAACCACTGCAAATCTGTATGACGGCCGGATGTCCGTTTACCCGTATGTCTGTATGTCTGTCTGTACGTATATTCAGTTTAAATTTTCATTTGACTACTACACATCCGGGAAGAGCGGGTATCGTAAGTACCGATCGATACGGATTTTATGATTTCCGCAAAGTTTGAGCTATGGGCTGGGAGC